TTTCAATTCCGGCTGCCGACAGCTTCTTACGGGCGACCCCCCAAACTTTCTTCAAACCTTCTTTTTAAGTGCCGACAATAGGTAAGGTGGTATATATGAAAAAATTAAAGTTTAGGTGTTAGATAATGTAAATACATAAGAATTGAGTGGTATGCATGTTAATCTTCCTAAAATGTAATGTCATACGGGCTTCTAGGTTTGAGAAATATTTTGGGAAGATGGCTGATGGCACTTTATGTGTTACGAAGGCGATGCAACATGAGCTGGCACAGAATTGCGGAGTCAAGTGAGTGAAGTATTTAAAACTAATTCTTTTTCTTTTTTATATTTATAAAAAAAGTGTCGAGATAGTTTATTTTGATGTGTTTTGTATGTTTTTCCTCCTCAAATCAGAGCATCAGTTCTCTATGACCAACCTCCTGAATTCTTTCACCCAGTTGCCCTCAAGGAAAGTCATGAGGTGAATCACAATTTCTTTTTTTACAGACTTTTGATACTTATGAAAATATTTATTTGATGACAGTCAAAATGTCTTAGTTGTTTTGCAGATTAGATAGGAGTATATGTGACCCAATTGGCTTTCATGATTGTGTTAGCACTGGTAGTATAGATAATCAAGCAACTCAGTTTTCTTTAGCCAAATAAATTCATAATTATAAATGTTGTAAATTCTAATTTCTTACGATTTATAGGAAAGAAAAGCCAAAATGATGCTTCTAGTGATTTGTCACATACTGTTTTTAGTACCCAAGATGGTGATAATCTTTCGTTGAAGCCGAGCAGGCCTGCACTAGTTGTGAGCAGTACCAGCTGGTAAGTTTTTGTTCGGAGACATTTTTTTAGTTCATCTTGAAAACTAAATCTATGAGATTTGTTTATCGGAATCCTTATAATATTTTCTTTATTGTTTTTGAGGAATTTCTTTATTGATGTTCATTAATGTTCTTGTTATGAGAATATATAATATGGAAGATTTGCATATGTACCACCCAATTCCCTATGTATCTACATATCTAACACCTATACTTGAAATTTTACTTATATGCTGCTTTAACTATGCATGAAAAGGTGTATTTCACATTCTAAAAGTCAAAGTAGTGGTATTCTTGATATGATATGAAAGATTTGGATGGTATAAATGTAAAATATAAAGTTTAGGTGCTAGATATGTAAATCAAACTTGTAATATTTTTTTCAGAGGCATTTCTATATCGATGTTTATTTTTATTGCAATCAAGGGGCTTACCTTACATACATACCACCCAATTGCTATGTATTTATATATCTAACACTTAAATTTTACGTTTTACAGTTTTGCCATCCAAATCTTTCATATCACATAAAAAACACCATCATTTTAATTTTTAAGAAGTTACACCTTTTCATGCATGAGTAAAGCGGCATATATGTAAAAATTCAAGTGTAGGTGTTAAATATGTAAATACATAGGAATTGGGTGGTATGTAAATCTTTGTATAATTAATAATAACCATTTAAAAAAGTAATAATCTGTTTTTTCCTAAGATTTCCTAATTGATGTTTTACAAAAGTTATTTCATCTTCATGCGCTTTAGGACTTCAGATGAAGATTTCAGTTTGCTTCTAGAAGCAGCACTGTTGTATGACAGGCGCATTGCTGCAGCCTTAAATGAGGATGATTCAATTGATGAAGAGAAACTTTGGATTGATTTAAGCAATGGAAAAAAATATTTGTATCCAAGATTGCTATTTATTATTACTGGCATGTCATTCAATATTTTGCTGTGCACAATCATTTTTACTCTATTATATAAATGATTTTTGATATTTACACCATCAACATCTTACAATGTCGAAGGTAAAGGGCCAGATAGAAAGAAGTATGAGGAAAAGATTAGGAAATTAAAATTAAGACGCGTGACCTTCCGAACAATGTGGCTTTCTGCCGAGGATTATCCACTGTTGCTTGGTAAATTATCAAATTTTCACTTCTAGAAACTATACCTATAAATGCAAATAAACTTATCCTCTAATGTTTTATTTAATTGTAGGATCTGCGGATCTTGGCGTGAGCCTTCACACATCCTCGTCGGGCTTGGACCTTCCCATGAAGGTAGATCATGGTTGTGGTTTAACTTTTGTACATTTACATACATACCACCCAATTCTTATTTATTTACATATTAATACCTAAACCTTGATTTTTACATCTATATTGTTCAAATCTTTCACATCACATCAAAAACACCACTATTTTAACTTTTAAAAGAAGAAATACACATTTTCATGCATAGAGAAGGTGGCATACATGTATAAAATTAAGGTTTAGGTGTTAGATACTTAAACACATAAGAATTGAGTCGTATGCATGTAAATCTTCAGTTTAACTTCTCCCATTTTGAAAGTAAACCAAAGTGTTCATCTAATGTCAGATTGTTGACATGTTTGGTTGCGGGCTCCCTGTTTGTGCGGTTTCCTTCTCATGGTATGTTTTAGAAATTTACTTGCTCTTTCGGATTAATACTTGGTTCTTCCATAAGTAAATTAGCTTGTCATTGTAGTAGTCCATGAAAATTTTCATAATAATGTGTTATTTGAAGCATTGGAGAACTCGTAAAAGATGGGGAAAATGGCCTTCTTTTCTCATCATCATCTGAGCTCGCTGATCAGCTCATGGTGAGTAGATAGATTTCATTTTAACATCATATTTCTTTTTTTTATAATTAAGACGATTTACATACATACCACTTAATTCTTATGTATCTACATATCTAACACCTAAACTTTACTTTTTTACATATATCCCACCTTACCTATGCATAAAAAGGTTTATTTCACTTTTTAAAAGTTTAAAAAGTGTATTTTTTATGTTACATAAAGGATTTGGGCGGTATAATGTGTAAATGTAAAAAAACTGAGTTTAGGTGTTAGATATGTAAATATATGAGAATTTGGTGGTATGTATGTAAATGCCCTTTATCATTATTGCTGAAATGTTAGTACTGTTTACTCTGGAGCCAACTTTTCTAGGATAAAAATGTCAGTTTGATTTTAGTAAACATTGTTGAATTCAACGCAGATGCTTTTCAAAGGTTTTCCAGATAAATGTGATGCCTTGAAGGCATTGCAGGAAGGCGCTTTGGCCAGAGGTTCCTCTTCAAGATGGTCTGCAGAGTGGATGACGCACGCATTTCCTGTTATACAGGAGGTCAGTATAATGTATGTTTGTGTGTGTACAATTCTTATGTATTTACATATCTAACCCTTAAGCATTCATATTGACACGAACACCACTCAAATTTTTAATATCCCATAAACAATAGCACTATCACTAAGTTTTTAAAAGAGAAATACACCTTTTCTGCTTAATTTTTTCAAACCAAGATGTTATATGTGTAAATATCAAATTTTGGGTGTTGGATATGAAAATACATAGAAGTTGTGTGGTTTGTATGTAAACTTCCCTATATATTTAGGCTACATGTATTTCTTTTATCTGAGTATATTTTTCTTCCATTTAATTACTGATTTAATGTTTTGCACCCTTCTTTTTACATGCACTATAGTGTATTTGTAGAGGCATATAATCAGAAATGGAAATTTAAGCTAAACTTATGTCGGTCGCATCATTTATTTGATTTTTTTAGCACTCAAATTATTTTTCTCAAAAGTTTGTAGCATTGATCATTAACTTTAGTAGAATTTCCCCCCATTAGAATATAAGATCACATACATATCACAATTTTTATGTATTTATAATATTATACCTACCTATGAACTAAAAGGTATATTTCACTCTTTAAAAGTTAATAGTAGCTGTATTTTTTGTTTTGATATGAATGATTTGAGCGTTATAAATGTAAAAAACATAGGTGTCAGATATATATGAATACATATTCATATATATTTCCTTGCCTGATGTATATTCTTTTGCTTTAAGGTTCATCTCATGGGAAGAAGTTTTATATTTGCTTTTAGGTTATTTCAAAGAAGCACTGATTGAAAGCCAGACATTTGTGCTGAATGTAAGCAGCCTTGAAGAACTTCAAGACTCGTGTCATTTTAATGCATATTTCAAGCACAGGCAGCTATGAAATGTTCATCATGATTATTAATAATTTTAAATAATAATTCATTTTGCCTAAAGTTTTCGTGTACATGTTATTTTTACTCGAAGCCTTCACTGTAATGAAAAATGTGATTAAAATGTTATATTGAATGTTTAGGATGGTTTGGATGTGAAAATTCCTTGTTTTTTATTATATTTAGATCATCATATTTTGATTCAAATGCTCTCTTAAACATTTTTGATAAATTTTGTTTGTTGGTTGCTGTTCGTATGATGGTAATTGGGCTTTAACAAAATGGGAGGCATGATAAGTGTATGATGGCATGTAAATATCAAAATTCATAGGGCTTGGAGAAAAAAATAACATCATTCATCATAGGCAGTGTAAATGTACTTTTTTATTGACTATATTAAAAAAACATTAGATATTCCATCATTTATTTTACTCAAAAATCATAGAAATTCAAACTAAATTCACTTGGTTGAATCACTAATACATAGCTATTTCATTATTGGTTATAAAAATAAAAAAAAGAGAGAAATCAAAAGAAAAAACCAATTGAAAAAAAGAAGAAAAACAGCCTCTTGATAAAGCATCAGTAAAGAGAAATAATTGGAAAAAAAAAAAGACTACAAACATTGCACCTGAAACATTGTTATTTACAAATCTAATATCTTCTTTCATCCACATCTCAGATCTTTGCTCAAATATTAAAATTCATAATAAAATCCTAATTTATTTTTTTTCATTTTTATAAAATTTTTAATGGTTTGATCGTGGCTTTTAGTAGTTCAAAAACATTACCTGGGCGTTGGTAGCAATGTTTTTGGGTGCTATGTATGTTATTATCCCAATAAAAAAATAGTCGTATGACACAAACACTTAATGAACATGTGAGATCCAATCCAATTCTAGCCAGCAATAAATATTCACGAGTTAAAACTCACGTTACAGTTATGACAAAAGGAGTAAAGTTAAAATAATCTCTGACTATTTATATGGGATTGTTTTAGTCTTAAAGTTTATATTCACGAGTTAAAACTCACATTACAGTTATGACAAAAGGAGTAAAGTTAAAATAATCTCTGACTATTTATATGAGATTGATTTAGTCTCAAAGTTTATAGAAATATCAAAATAATCCACAAATTTTAAATTGGGGTTGAAATAGTCCATGTGGATGACTATTAGAACTCAATTTTATAATAGTAAGGGATTATTTTGTCATTTATATAAGCTCTGGGATTAAAACGAGCTCTTGTAAAAAGTCGAGAACTATTCCTGCGCTTCACTCTAACATATAGTATAATCAGTTGTACATAAAAAATGTTCGAGCAAGTATCTTGAACAGATCCAAAGATCTAGAAGTGCAAAGTATGATGAAAGTTGGCCCACAGTCAGGAGGATATGGGGCCCACTTTATCGACTCAGGATAAAGTTGTTCAAGCCTAGCTAACAATGCTAAAATCGACTGAGCCATGAGGCAAAGAAAAAGATGAACAAATGATCCGAGAGCAAACTATTTAACTAGAAATGAAAACAAAAAAGCATCTAAGCCAACCACTATAGGAAAGTCGACTTGATGCGATAACCTACCCTCCAGTAGAGTCAATTCGAGAAAGGATCCAGTTTCCCAACATCTTCAACCATCCAATAGATGCCACATAAAGCTTCTTTCGGGTCATATCGGTCGGTCTACCCATATTGACCAAAGCTTAGTCAACCGAACTGATTTCGTTGACTTAAAGCCAAGCAACCTTAGTAGGCCAAGCAAGAAAGCTTTCGGACAAGCTTACACATATAAAATATCAAAAATACCTCAGTACAGACCCATTAAAGCAGAGCAAGCTCATTGTTGTAATATCTCCTCTATTAATTCAAGAATCATTTTATGCATAAGGAATGCACAGATTACTGTTCATTAATATTCACTCGCTCTCTCAGTCTCTCTTTATCTCTTGTTACTTCTACTCTTGCTTTGGTGTGATTCACAGATAAATTAGGATTCAACAACTGCAAAAACAACAAAACAATTAAATTCATTTAAATATAATGATGAAATAACAACACAAAATCAATTTTTAAATTTAAATCTTTCACTTTTCAATGATATATCAAAATAAGTATTCTCATTTAAAATGTCTAAGTTAGAACCACAAGGTCTACCACTCTCCAATATAATCTTATTAAGTTCAACCTATAAATAATGCATAATTATTTGAATTGTCAGGAGATAGAATATTTTATTAATTTTGCACAAATTGGTGTCACTGTCAACTAAAACATAAGAAAATGTGGAGTATAAATGAAAAAAATCTAGAGATGCCAAGATTCATTATTTTAAGAGAGAAATTATTACTTGTTGAATTCCATACTCTCATAGCTAATGAAGAAAAAAAAGGTGAGGTAGATAGAAAGAAGAGTGAAGATTGAATTGTATTAAATATCAGGCTCAACCCCTCTTTATATAAGGGGATTTTCTTATTTAAAGTATACAAGAGCCTGAGACTATATATGGATCCTTTGGATGGCTGCCTAAATTTGTATTTTGCCACTGTGAGTGTATTTATTACATTATCTCCGACATCCTATCTTTTGTTGATCCTAGATTTGACCTTTTATTTCTTGTACATTCGTTAGGTCATGAAGGACATCTAGTCGGTCCCCTAGCCTTGAGATCTCGCTCCATAAGTTCCTTTCTTATGACAAGTGGGTTGCAATCTTATGTGCTATCTATAGCAATAGAGCTTGAACCTAAATTTGTCTTTTGCCACTGTGAGTGTATTTATTAATTTCTTCTATTCAAACATCTTAGCTCAACAACTAATACTCGGCCACTCGTTTTCAACCATTTGGATTTGACTGTTATTCATTCAAACTTGTCTACTTGGGTTTGATAACTTAGGCTAGGAGTAAGCTCATAAAGTAATTCCTACACATGTCGGCCCATCAAGGCTACTTCGAGCTATACATTACATAAAACTCACAACATTTAGTAGGGTTTGGAATAACATTGAAAAATGTGAAAGATTAAATTAGAATCAAGACCAAAATAAAATAGTTAAACTAAATGAAAAATCCGTTTTAAGTGGTGCGACAAACGGGGTACATAAATTTTACACAATTAAGTTAAGACTATTGATGATGATAAAATGATAATATATTGTGATTATATATATGCATAGCTAACTGAATAAAAATATTCTTGCAGCTCAAATTTGTAAAAAAATGTGTAATAACATTTTTTTAAATTAAAAAAAATTTATAATGCTAAATATCTTAAATAGGTATTTAACATATATTATGAATAATAAGTATAATACATATGAAAACAAAATAATTATTATAATAAAATAAAATAAAATAAAATATTAGCATGGAATTTCATTTGCAGGGAGTAGCCGTTAGAGCAACAGTAAGAAATTTAAATCTGAAGGAGAGACCCACCATCAACAAATGTACCAACCTTGATTCTCCTCGCACGTGCCGCCCTCCGCGGAATGTCCTCTGATACGTGCTGCCGGCCGATCCTGGGGCAGGGGTGAAATTGTAATTTCAAAAAATTTTAGCTCAAAAACTTCTGTCGAAAATGGCCCTCTTGCTTCCGGAAAAAATTCAAAAACTTCTGTCGAAAATGGCCCTCTTGCTTCCCTCGGCTTCCAGTTAAGAACCCGAGTCGTTTTCTCCCTCCCACGCTCTCTTCCCCTCCATCGTCTTCTTCGGGATCGACTGCGAGGGATCTTCTTCGAGATGTCGACAATGGAGAGCTTAATCGGCATGGTGAACCGGATTCAGAGAGCGTGCACGGTTCTTGGTGATCACGGCGGCGCCGAAGGCGCCCTCCCGACTCTCTGGGAGGCGTTGCCTTCTGTCGCCGTTGTGGGTGGTCAGGTACCTTTCGCTGCTTTTCTATCTTCTAATATGTTTTTCTTATGATTTTGCGATTGAATAATGAGGATCTGGTGTTGATTATGGCAGAGTTCGGGAAAGTCGTCGGTACTGGAGAGCATCGTCGGTCGCGATTTCCTCCCTCGTGGATCTGGTTAGATCGGTGCTGAGAAATTGAGTCCAGGTTGTTTTGTTTTGATTGGGATGATGGATTGATTGGATCGCAATGATTGTATGTAGGGATTGTGACAAGGCGACCATTGGTGCTGCAGCTGCATAAGACGGATGATGGGAAGCCGGATTATGCTGAGTTTCTTCATATGCCCAAGAGAAGATTCTCTGATTTTAGTGCGTTGACTATATTTTACATAATATTTTTTCTTGTTACGTAGGAAACTTGCTTAAAAGAGGAGATTGCGCTTTCTATTGATTGGAAGTTTTACTTATTTCGTGTGGGATTTATTAATTCTGTAAACCATATGTGGCATTGTTAGCTATTTTAGAGAGACAAGCATCAGAAGACTTGGAACAAAACTGTCTTATTTCGAGAAATTGAGTGTTATAAGGTGGATATAAGTCTTAGCTTTTGGTTCCAATGGCCTGATTTGATGCCTTAATTTAAAAAATGTGAGAGATAATTGAACCTCAACAAAAGTTTGGATAATCAGATTTGGGGTTGGAGTATCATTTTCAACATGTGCAATTGTAATATTAGCACACACAACGAAGATTTAAATTATCTCATCATGTCTTATTGCACAGTAAAATATGCTTGAGTAGTGACCTGATATTCTATTCTTTTAATATTTTATCTTGATTTTCTTAGTTTACTTTGGATCAATGCTCTAAGTTAGGATACCAGGAAAGTATGTGAAAAGTTGTTTAACTGCGTTCTACCTTTTACTAATGACATTGAATGTATCCTTTAGTGCTATAACACTGATTAGGATGAATGCGGGAAACAAAAACTGACAATATTTATAAACTGGAAATATAGAAAACACATTTCTGAATAATTGGAGAATATTTGTCTTTTAACTATCTCTTTCTTAAATTTAATTTTTGCTATTTATTTAAAATAAGTGGATTGCAGACACTGTGCGACTGTTCATTTCTTAGTATTATGATTGGAAAACTTTGTCTGGTTATTTTTTATCATAAAAAAGGGGTTTGTCCATGCTGCTTTCATTTTTCATTTCTAGCTCAAGATGCTGGTGCAGCACGTTATACATTTTATAAATGTTTTACAAAAATTGTAAGTCCTAGTCAATATGAATAATCTATAATGCAAGTAATTTAAGTATAACGATGTATTTATTCATATTGTGGATTTTTATTGCTTTTATAAACAATTTAATTATATTTATATTTTAACAAAAAGCAATAATCTCTATACTTATTTATTCTGCAAAAAGATCAGTATGTTTATTTTGATTTCAAATTTGTAACATTTAAATGTATAAAACCTACTCTACTTTGCGGATGCTTGAATTTTGCCTGGATTAGTTGTTTCGGTTGTGAATTGTTAGCATATTTGTTCGATTGGTCACTTTATAAGCAAATAATGAAGTTTAATACATGTTAGATGAATTATGCTTGCATGATTGAGCAGAAAATAAAGCTTATATCTGTAGATAATATTCATAGGAGTATTCTTTTAACCATCAACTATATTTTGCAGGCCTCGTTCGCAAGGAAATTGCAGATGAAACTGACAGAATAACTGGGAAAACTAAACAAATTTCGCCTGTTCCCATCCAACTTAGTATTTACTCAGCTAATGGTACATGGTTCTACATTTTTTGACTTTTATAGTTCCATCGATAGAATTATATGATTCCCTAGTTTATCTCTTTGATTCCAATCCATGCTGCTTGTTGCTTAGATTGGAAATTACAGACCATTTATTGTTTCGACTTTAATATTGATGTTTGTATCTAATGTTGTCTGCTACTTCTGCATACAATAGAGGGACCTAAGATAGAGTAAGATATGGATATAGGGATACAAGAGGTCTTTACTAGAAATTTTGAAAATTTAGGGTACATATATAACATGATTTGACAATTTTTTTGTGCATGTATACAAGCATGGATTCACCCATCCATTCGTGAATACGAGTGTTTCCAACATGCCTATTTATGACTATACAATTACACTTATGGATTGTTTGTGGGAGCAAAGTCATCCATCCCACTTTTTTGTTTTGCATTGCCAACATTTGGTATATTTATGAGGAAAATAGATAGATTAGTTCTATTTTTGCAAAATCTTGCTATATTTCCAATTTTCCATTTTATTTTATTTTTATGTAATAATTCATGCTCCTTTCTTTATAAGAAGATTTGAATTAAGGTTTTGATTATTTTTTGTTGATTCAAATAAATCATGAGGTCTTGCTAACCCTAGCGATTGGCCACCCTTTCCACTCCTCTTATTCTGGTGTATTCAAGTTCTTCCTATTGGGATGAAAATAAAACTCAGGGCTCGATCAATTTGAAAATAAGACCACACCATGGAATATGATCACACCAATTCAAAAAATCTTGAACAAAATTTCAAACAGAACCACAACAAAACAGTTCCAAAAAATTACACTAATATTCACACCACCAAAAATTTTTACTATGAAGAATCAGAATTGTATAGAGATACATACTCAGATCAACTCTCTACATGCATGGAAACTTACAGAACTTCGCTACAAACCTTCCTCTTGATCTCACAGGGTTTCGCTTCGAAATCACCCTCCTGACAATTCATCTTTACAAGAGAGCCTGTCGAGAAAAATTGCACGCAAGAGTAGGTCCTTCGTCGCTCGTCGCTCGAATCAAAGTCTTATGAATCGTCTTGACGGCGTAGTCATGTCGAGAAGTGGCATAATTATTTCACACTTCCAATCAGTTGTCTGATCACAAGCGGCTTAATCAAAGGATTAACTTCATCCGGTTGCGGTGTAGTCATGTCGCCTGGCGTAGCTATGCTTGTTTCAGGTGTGCTTACGCCATGCTTAGGCACAACACCACTTCTTTGGAGGCACTGGAGTCGGGAGTTGCATGCTCCTCTCCTTAATATCTCTAACTTAGAAACTGATGGCACCCGACACATGTCCACTAGATTTACTTCTCCATCTGCACCATCTTCATAGTCAAGTAATGTAGCGCGGCTCATCCCGGTCTCAACCTTTCTGGACTTACAGGAGGACTGTTTGGAACTCAGCTTGGCACATTCTGGAAAGGCTAGCATGGCTCTTGCCTAGGAGGAAAAGTTCCCAGCTAGCACAGAGGATTTTAGCTGGCACAAATAACTCCACTTACACCGGTGTGAGAGATTGTTTTGGTGGCACCTTGCTCACAATGCCATTCATACAAAAGGTTGGCTTTTAAGGCAGGGTCTTACGGAGACAGCCCTTTGCCCCTGGGGTTGCCAGGAGGTTGAGAATCGATCTCACATCGTCTCCAATTGCTCGGTGCTGAAAGCAGTAATTCAATGCCTCGCTAATTAGGGCTACTATCTACCAAGTTTTACCAGCTATGATGAAGCACTCCATGGCATTTCTCCAGTTTGTAACAAGGTCATCCCACTTGCCTATTTGTTTTATTATGCCATCCATCACTTCTGACGTGCCAGAAACGCAAAGATTCACATCCTATTGTACGGTAAATTGCATTCTCTATATTTGAAGCCCTCAATGACTTGCATCTTTACCCATTCCGGGAGCAATGGAAAACACCCTGGATGGATTAGGATCAATCTTGATGGTGCTCTTTCCACCTCCGGCATTGCTGGACCGGCACTATTATCCGAGTTGAGAGAGGTGATTGTATTGTGCCATGGGCCGCAACTTTGAACATTGGGACATTGTAAGGGTTGAGTTCCAAGCTATTCTCACAATCCAACAACTTATTGAGCCATGGATGACTGAATGCAAGGGGGTTATTGTTGAAGGTGATAACTTTAACATCATCTGCCGTATGCGTGATTCAGTTACCAGGAGCTTTTGGGAGACCCATCTTGGCCTAAGCGACAGGTTGCTTTTTTGGCTGATAACTTTAACATCATCTGCCGTATGCATGATTCAGTTACCAGGAGCTTTTGGGAGACCCATCTTGGCCTAAGCGACAGGTTGCTTTTTTGGCTTCTTTCAAGCAGGTGGTTTTCCTTCACACAAAGAAAGGATGCAACAAAGCAGCCCTCTTTTGTGCTTCTTTAGCTTTAGAGCAGGATTTTGTTTTGAAAGATGTAAATGGATATACTGTTCTTATATCTATTCTTAGTGATGATAGGAGTCATTTTGTGCATGCATAGTTCTATCCTTTGCATTCTTTTGTAGCTTTTTTGCTTTATTAATGCAATATGCAATTTTCATGAATGAAGACATTTTTATTCTTTATTTTCGATAGTTCTTGTAAAACATTTCTAGAAGTTTTTCTACCAGCCAGAGCTTCTTTCATATTGTGGATTCTGTCTTTTTACATTTTCAATAATTTATATTGCTTACTCTTAAATAGTCTGCTTTGATAAGGTAAATTCTATATTTTTTGACACAAATTTCTGCTTTGGGTGTTCATGGCAGTTGTCAATCTAACGCTGATTGATCTTCCTGGGCTTACAAAGGTTGCTGTAGGTATAGCAGTATTACTTCTCCTGCTAGTCATGAGGGCTCTTCTCATTGCTAATGTTGTTTTCCTTACATGTCAACTTAATATGGAAGAGTAACTGATGTAATTTTAAATTTACAGAGGGACAATCTGACAGTATTGTTCAGGATATAGAAAACATGGTTCGCTCGTATGTTGAGAAGGTATTTAAGATCTACAATGACTCAATGGAACTTGATGACAGTGAGCACTATCTGTTAAAACTGTGTGCTTATTCTGCAATGAGCAGTTTGATGGTTATTGACAAGGGGCATAGCATAAAATTCTGATGTATGTAAATATCTCACAACTGAACTTACATATTTACACACATAGCAATCAAACCTTTCACACCGCACTTTTCATGCATAGTTTTAATGCTAAAAAGTGCTTTGTGTGTAAATATGAAAGTTTAGATGTGAGGTATGTACATACATAAGAATTGTGTACTAGTTATGCAAATTTCTCTATTGACAAAGCATGTTCCTATCACAACTTTCATTGTTATTTCATAATAAAAAATAATATAAAGGCAATTTGTTGCATATTTATCTGATAAAGGCTATTCGGACAAGTATAAATACATAAATAAAGAGGCGCACACATGAACACGCGAGCGCACATGCACGCACACACGCACGTATTGGGAGCGTGTGCATCTTCTTTTTGAGAATAATTGTTTGGTGTTCTAAGTGGGTTTTGGTTTTATTCTTTGCAGCCCAACAGTATTATATTAGCAATATCCCCTGCCAATCAAGATATTGCAACATCTGATGCCATCAAACTTGCCAGGGAAGTGGACCCTTCAGGTATGATGATCTCCCGTTTAAAAACAATCGAATCCAAACTATCAGTGAAGAACATTCAGTACCTCTTGAGACTTTTTCTAGGGAAGCTTACATACATGCTGCACAATACTCATGTATTTACATATCTAAAGTTTGATGTTTATTTTTATAACTCTTTGATCTCCTAAACCTATGCATGAAAACATGTATTTGAGTATTTCACTTTAAATAGTGGTATTTTTTATATAATATTAAAGATTTGAGTGTGGCACGAGGGTTTACCTCCAAAAGTTGAATCGGTTTGACCCGAACCAGTTCAGTTGAGAGAAAGGGCTGATCCGGCCCCTCCTCCTTTCTCTTTTCATTAGGCTGGAAATTACCCCCTTTTCTGTTTTTGTTTCCCGCCTATATATCTCCTATTTATGTGTTGTTGTCCAGGTTTTTAGTTTAGGTTATGTTCTGATTTTGGTTTGTGAGGACAGCCACCGGCGTCCTGTTCGTCCTATTTTCCTCTCAAGGGTTGTATTCCACGGTTAGGGTGGTGCTCTGGTTGTATCCCTTTTCCCGGTGGTGATTTATCTTCTCCGACTTTCACCTCCATCCTCCCTCCTCGCCGTCCGCTGGTTCTCCCTGCCGCCCCCCCCCAGCTTTCAGCCCCCCACAACCCCGCGTCCGACTTTCACCTCCATCCTCCCTCCTCGCCGTCCGCTGGTTCTCCCTGCCGCCCCCCCCCAGCTTTCAGCCCCCAACAACCCCGAGTTTCCATCGCAGCCAGCTGAGCCCTCCTCCCCCTTGAAATCCAGCACACCCGCATATCTGCACCAGATCCTCCCCCCGATTCCAACGCCTGCGCCTTCCCATCCTCCCCTCAAACCCACACCCGTCAGGCCACCTTACCCCTCCTCTCAAACCTGCAGCCGTGCTTCCAATCACCCACATACCTGCCCAGATCTCCCCTGATTCCAACGCCTGCAGCATTCCCATCCTCCCCGAAACCTACAACTTCCCTTTCGCCATCCTTCCAAAAGCTGCAACTCCACTTTCCCCAACCTCCCTAAACTTGCAATTAAGGCTGTCAAAACGGCTCGTTGTTCGCGAACAGCTCGTGTTCGACTCGTTCGCTATGTTACCGAGCCAAGCATGAACAAAGATTTGTTCATTCGTGTTTGACTCGTTTTAGCTCGAAATATTACTCATCAATTGTGTTCGGCTCGTTTTAGTTCGAAATACTACTAATCAATATATATATATATATATATTGATTAGTAGTATTTAAAAAAAAATTAATTGATTGTAAGGCTACAAAGAATAATAATCAATTAAAAGTATTAATTAAGAAATTAGAATAAAAATTATTACATTAGATTCAAATGATATAAACAATAATTTGTAAATCTTGTCTCAACCCTTAACATCTTATAACTACCTAATTAGGGTTGTCAAAACGACTCTTTGTTCGTGAACAGCTCGTGTTCGGCTTGCTAAGCAAACGAGCCGAACACAAACACACTTTTTGAGCTCGAAATATAAACAAGCCGAATATGAGCTGATCCTGGGCTTGCTAGTATTCGGCTCGTTTACACCCCTACTTACAGTTGCACCTCACCCCCCTTCCACACATACCAGCCGTTACTTTCCCTCCTCGCCATTGCAAAATTGGGGCCTTATCGTGACTTTCTTTCATTTTTCTGTTGTGAGTTGTTATGAGGCGTTGTTGTAATTGATTTCAATTTCAATAATAATATTTGTGCTTCTTTTTGTGGTTTAGGATTTTCTCCTCCAGTATCAGAGTGATATGCAACTAAATATGAAAAATTAGATGTTTGCTATGTAAATAGTTAAGAATTGTGTGATATGTATGTAAATGCCCCTTTTTTCTATTTATTAGTCTAAGTTATCATTATTTACTATGGTTAGGTGAACGGACATTTGGAGTTTTAACCAAGCTAGATCTGATGGATAAAGGAACAAATGCGCTTGATGTAAGTTATATTCAGTTGTATTTTGAAAATTGAAGAGAAAGATAATTACTTGGTTGTTTTGCTGGCATTACTTGAGAAAATGCTCTAATGCTGTGGCTTTGATCCCTTCAGTTTCATTCTGAAGTTTCTTATTCCTGAAAGGCGTTTTCCAGGTCCTTGAAGGTAGAGCTTACAAGCTGCAACATCCTTGGGTTGGTGTTGTTAATCGTTCACAGGCGGATATAAATAAGAGTGTTGACATGATAGCTGCCAGACAAAAAGAACGGGAGTATTTTGAAACCAGTCCCGACTATTCTCATCTAGCCAGTAAAATGGGTTCAGAATATCTTGCTAAACTTCTTTCAAAGGTTTTATTATCAAATTTGTTCAATTTTCTCACTATTTATCATAAGATTTTTATGCTTTGGCCAATTTTAATTTAACAAGTAAATGATTTCAGCATTTGGAGTCAGTAATCAGAGCTCGAATTCCAAGCATTACATCTTTGATAAATAAGACAGTAGAAGAACTTGAATCGGAGATGAACCATCTGGGTAGACCTATTGCTGTTGATTCAGGGGTGAGGCATTTTTTTTTTATCTAAATGTTTAATGCAAATATTTCACGATATAAACAAGTTCATGCTTTTGTGGCCCCGTTGATTAATTGGTTGGTCTGCTACTTCAGGCTCAACTATACACAATATTGGAGCTTTGCCGTGCATTTGAAAAGATATTCAAAGAGCACCTGGATGGAGGGTAAGGGGAAACTGACCCATCTGGTTTTTATGAATGGCCGCTCATGAATTGATTTTGCCAATGCTGATTTGATCTTACCTCTTTTTTTTCAACTTTTAACTGGCAAGATAACCTTTTGTTCGATGAACTGAGGGAGAACCACTTAACTAAAATTTCTAAAATGAAATAAAGCCATCAAACTTACTAATATTTCACCAGAATCACAAATATGAAGAGTACTACAGTTCTCAACCACAGTAAGAGCCACAATACTATTTTATTAAACATGGAGCATACGAAGAGCTGAAGTAATAAACGTCTGTTTAAAATCTATTGTAGTTAGATATTCAATTTAAGAATTTTCATTTTCGTCAGGTAAATTTTCAGTATCCATGTAACCATGAATAATAGCCTTCACCGCCACCATTGTTGTATTCCCTGCCTTTGCTACAATTGAATGTTATCAACAACACCTTTGCCTAGAATAATGTGGTTTTGGAAGCTGAAGCTATCCAATCCACTTTCAACCTTTGATGCCTTTTAAAAATGAGTTATTGACAGGAAATGTGATAAAAATTTGATGAAAAATTATGTATCAAATACGTGACGAATAGATATTTGATTGCAAAATTAAATCTTCCTTTCATCATATTCTTCCAAATGCACCAATTATTACCATTTGAACTAAGAATAAAATTATTTTACATTATTTTGACGAGGAACATCCAATCTTCATTGGCATGAAGGTTAAAAGTAAATAGTTTTTTAATAGATTCTTCTTTAATGTGCATTCAATTGATATAATGCATAATATCAAATGATGATGGTTGATGGCTCCACCATGTAAAAAATTATAATGCATGGGCTAATCGCATGAAAATTTTCTATTGGAGGAGCTTTAGAGCTACCATAAAACAGGAAAAATGGATCGAACCCACTAGTTTACCTCAATTTTCGTGCACCATGTGAAATAATATTACTCTTAAGGTTTGGGTTGGTTGACCTGATTTGTTATTCCATGAGGGCATCCATGTTGATTCCCCAAAGAATGGCTATGGATCAAAAAATCACTTAAAATGCCAAAATTTCTTGTGTTGTCGAAAGGCTACAAGACGATTCTAGGAGCAAAGCTCTAAAGTATAGTTGGTTGCATCTCTGTGTTCTGAGGTTGGATGATTTTTATCCCCTTAGATAATTTTTTTGATATCAAAATCCCATGAGGAAGAATAATTGCAAGAAAATTGTGAGCTCTATTGTATGTTGGATTTTTTTCGTGATAAGGTAGTGTGCTTTATTTTTTTAAATCTTGGTTTGGGTTTATTCTTTTCTAAGCTTGCAAGATTGTGTAGGCTGGTTCCTAGCAAAGTTGAGACGGAGAATTGCTAATTATGCATGCCTTTATTGATGTGAAGGATCCCATGTTCTTATTTATTATTTTTTTATTATGTACAAAATATTTTTTTGAAACATTTATTCCTACATTTCTTGACATAGATGGATAATGTGGTGGGGGATTTATTCTTGTCTTTTTTTGGTTCTTTCTTCGCCATTACGAGAGCAAAATTCAAAGTCTTTATGCTTTCATTTATTGGCATATGTAGGATGATCTCTAGCCGATGTTATGTACTGTCTATGCCTTCTTTGGCATGGATAGGATTGGCACTAAAAATAGCCTCTGTTGCTCGTTGCAACACCATAAGGGTCTTGCTTTTTAGGAGTTGGACATACTTGGTACAATTCTCACTATTCTTTTTTACGAAGTTAAACACAAAAGCACTATAAAAAACTATGATGAGGTAATAATTTAGTACTGTAGGTAGATATATATATATATATATATATATATATATATATACTTTAGAGAGTTAATAGTTATAAATTTATATTTATTATAGTTTTAAAAGTTAATTTTTAACATTATTAACTAAACAAGATATAATTGTAAGATATTTTAAATTTTAGTAGATAAGTTGGATGAATTTTTTTGAAACTTATAATATGTTTAATTTTGAAATAATTGATTTTGTAAGCATGAGATTTCATAATATACATTAAATTTATAAACTTAAATTCTATTCTTACATACTTTGTTTTATGGATAATAACAAACTTTTTATATTTCTACCATCACATTACTAAACCATAAGTTGAAGCTTTAAAGAAAATAAAGTGTAGAAAAACAATAAGACCAGAGGGATTTTAATAGTAGTGTGAAAATATTTAAGAGATGAGAATTTCTTGACTTACTAAACTATTTAATATTATTTTAAAAATTAAAAAGATGTTTGATGAGTGATGAAAGAGTATATTTGTTTTTATTTTTAAGAATATTGGGGATACACAATAGCGTGCAAATTATATATGAATTAAGTTAATGTGTCATACATTAAAGTTATGGGAGAGAGTAATTGAAGAATGATGTGATACAAAAATATATCAAAATCAGTTTGCATTCGTGCTGGACAAGTCTACTATCGAGGCTATACATTTATTGAGAAGCTTGATGAAGAAGACGGAGAGAGAGGATGTACATATGATTTTTGTTGATTTAGAAACAATTATGATAAAGTTTCAAAAGAAGTACTTTGGAGAGTTCTAGAAAATAAAGGTGTTGAAATTGCTTATATTAGTCATTAAAGATATGTATACTATAATTGTTAATTGTGTTCTAACAAAAGAAGGATTGACCAAGTATTTTTCTATCTAAGTTGAATTATATCAGGGACCAACTATAAGCTCATATCCGTTTTTTTTAGTTATGGATGCTCTTACTAGACATTTACAGGAGGATGTACCTCATTGTATGTTTTTCAGTGATGATACTCTTCTGGTGGATAAGCCTAGAGAGAGAGTTTAGGAAAAATTTGAATTATGGAGGTTAACCTAAGAGTCTAAAGGCTTTGTTTTGAGTAAATCTAAACTGAATAGATGGAATGTAATTTTAGTAGTAGTAGATCTAGTGGTGTGGTTATAAAAATGGGCTATCAAGTCATTAAAATGAGTGAACATTTTAGATATCTCAGGTCTATTCTTCAAAGTGATGGTAATATAGATGGGGATGTTATTAGTAAAATTTAAATTGGATGGTTGAAGTGGAGGAATACATCGGACCTATTGTGTTATAGAAAAATAGTGCTTATAGTTAAAGAAAAATTTTATAATGTGGTGGTGAGAACTGCAATGTTTTATGCCGCAGAATATTGGCCTAAAAAAAGAAACATAAAATTAAGTGTTGTTGAGATAAGAATGCTCGGGTGGATAAGTGACTTTACACTTGAAAACAAAATGCTAAATGAATTTATCCGTGAAAGAGTTGGAATTACTCTAGTGGCAGACAAGATTAGATAGAATCATCTTTTAGATGGTTTGGTCACATTAAAGGTTGACCATCTGATGAGTAGATGTTTTCGGTTTGACTTATGTTAAGAAAGATAGAGGTAGACCTAAAAACACTTGGACATGTTGTATAATATCTTAATTCATTATAAGTAAATGAAAATATTACACTTATTAGGACGCAGTGGTAATGATTCATGTTGTTGACCCTACTTAGTGGGATAAAGGCTTGTTGTTGTTGTATACTTTGTTTTGTGATGTATTTAGTAGAGAATTATGAAAATATAAATGTTTTAATATTTACAATTTATTAAATATAATTAAACATGTTCATGATGCGTTGTGTTCTACTTACTTGTAATTATGTCATATCGTTGTATTGTGTATGTCTCCTCGTGTTCATGCTTCATAGGCGAGTGCATTTCATTAATATTTGTCAAGATGAATAGTCAACAACATGGACATGTATGCGACAAAACACAGAAAAATCTCCAAGTTATTTGTATTCAAAACAATGCATATCGAGGCTTGTATATATACAAGGCTCTAGGTCCCTTTATTTTTTGGGAAGGCAGGTTGTGATACGCGTAACAACAGTTTACCATGTATGTTTGTCCTACTAGTTGTTGACGAGTGACAACTAGTAAATGCATTGTGATGTTTGTACCATGCATCATTGTGCATTGTGCTGAACATAGATTTCGAGGGATTTGACTTAACTAAAAGAGGTGTTTGTCCTACTAGTTGTTGACGAGTGACAACTAGTAAATGCATTGTGATGTTTGTACCATGCATCATTGTGCATTGTGCTGAACATAGCTTTCGAGGGATTTAACTTCGCTAAAAGAGAAAACGTCATTATGACACTTTTAACCAAATTTCATCCTCAGTCATTTTTTTCTTGAAGGTTTTTCGCTTTTAGTTGATTTCGTTCGCACCTAATAAATCGGCAACAAGCCTATTCTTGCATGCTAATTATGACGAGGAGGTTCGAAAGGAGGCATATGATTTTTTCCTAAAAGAAAAAAGAAAGAAAATAGAAAGAAAAAAATTTTGAAATAATGTGATCAAATAAAAATACTGAAAGGGAATGTTGAATGTCTTAAAGAAACTTAAAAAAATGGAGTAGTTCAATATAAATTTTAATCGGCTTAAGAAAAGCACTTGAATTATATCTTGTGCTTTTGACCTATCTAAAAATAATTTGAAGTAAAACTATTTTGATGCGCACTATTCTCTTATTTTGTTCTTGAAAAATCATAAAAATATCCAAAAAATTTTAAGAGATAGAGAGTTGGGTATAAGGTAGTGGGAAATTTGTGAAATTTACCTCAACTCAACTAACAGACGATGGGAGTAAACAACGACGTAGGCTATTTCATTGCCATCCCTCCTCGAATCCTCCATTTGGTGGGCACCTCTTGTGCTCTAATCCCTTTCATGTTCCACCAATCGAATTTTGGATGATTTACATACATCACTCAATTCCTTTGTATTTACTTAACTAACACCTAAACTTCAATTTTTTATATAGATACTACCATACCTATGTATAAAAAGGTGCATATCACCTTTTAAAAGTTAAAATAATGGTTTTTTTTTTATGTGATATGAAATTTTGAGCTGTATAAATGTAAAAAGCGAAAGATAAGTGTTAGATAATGTAAATTCATAAGAATTGAGTGGTATGTATGTATATGCCCCTTGAATTTTTCTTAAGAATCCACTTATGACTGTCAGAAATGTGCCATTTTGTTTAGTTTGAGATGTAAAACTAATATATGAAATTCCTAAACCTTTTTCTAAGATTTGCACCTTATTATCCACAGGCGGCCTGGTGGTGATAAAATCTATGGAGTTTTTGACAATCAGCTTCCTGCTGCTTTAAAGAAACTTCCATTTGACAGACATCTCTCTCTGCAGAATGTGAAAAAAGTGGTATCAGAAGCAGACGGCTATCAACCCCATCTCATTGCTCCTGAGCAAGGTTATCGTCGCCTCATCGAAGGAGCTCTCAGTTACTTCAGAGGTCCCCTGCTGAAGCTTCTGTGGATGCTGTGAGCCTTTCTAACTCTATTCTTTCCAACACATGGTCAGGATAATAAGGGCCACAATACTGAGCTGCTTTTATGATTTTTCTTGCAGGTTCACTTGGTTATGAAGGATTTGGTTAGAAAATCTATAGGTGAGACTCAGGTAAGGAGCTTCAGGACTATAAAACGAGGTTCAGGACTATAAAATAAAAATTCTTCCATTTATTTGTTTTTCACATTTTTTGAATCATGATTATACCTGTGAATGTCTAATTGTTTAATTTTAGAGTACAACAAAAACAACAAACCTTTATCCCACTAAGTGGTATCAGCTACACGAATCCTTTTTATTGTTTAATTTTAAAGTGTCAAAATAGGTCCTTGACTGTTTACATGGTGTTATTTTAGTCCCAAAATCTTTAGAAGTGCTAAATAAGCCCCCCATACTTCTATATTAGAGTTCAAATAGTCCCATGGGAACTATGTTAGCCCATATTAAAAAGTCTGACTAAATTGAAATTTTAGGGACTCTCGGACTAAACAGATCATTTGCAATTAGTCGGGACTAATTTGGCATTTTTCTCTTTAATTTTATTTGAATTTATATTTAATTTTCTTGCTTATTATTTTTCTTATATCACATAATGAGATATAGGGCATTTACGTGCATACCACCCAATTCCTATATATTTACATATCCAACATGTAAACTTGACACTTTACATTAATGCCACTCAAATCTTTCATATAATATAAAAAATATCACCATTTTAACTTCTAAAAAGTAAAATACACCTTTTCATGCATAAGTTAGGTTGCATTGGAGGTAAAAATTGAAGTTTAGGTGTTAGATATGTAAACACGTAGGAATTGGGTGGTACATGCAAATCTTCCTTAGATATAATTCATGAAATCAACCTCTTATATATATTATATCAGAATACTCCAGCATAATTTTCCAGCTGAACTAATAGTGTTCATCCTATACTCTCATGTACCTGCTAACTACAACAAAACTTGTATTCCTAATATCAGGAACTGAAAAGATTCCCAACTCTACAATCAGAGCTAGCAGCCGCTTCCTATCTCGCATTAGAAAAATTTCGCGACGACGGAAAAAAGACGGTATTGCGCTTGGTTGATATGGAGTCATCCTATCTAACGGTTGAATTCTTTCGCAACCTTCCACAAGAAGTGGAGATTGGAGCCAACCCTGCTAACTCCACAGTTAAGGGAGCCAAGCCTGCTGCTCCTCCAGTGGATCGTTATTCAGATCTGCACTTCAGGAGAATTGCCACAAATGTTTCTGCTTATATAATGATGGTATCAGAAACGCTTAGACTCACCATACCAAAAGCAACTGTCCATTGCCAAGTTCGAGAGGCTAAGCGATCTTTGCTTAATCATTTTTACGCCCAAGTGGGGAGGAAAGAGGTACTATATCTTCCCCTTAACCATTCTTTTTATTGGGGCATTTACATACATAGCGCACAATTCTAATGTATTTACATATTTCTTACCTAAACTTTCATATTTACACACACAGCACTCAAATTTCTAATATTGCATAAAAAATAGCACTATTAAGAGTTTGTAAAAGTGAAATACATCTTTTCATGCATAGGCTTAAAGCACCAAAACATTATATACCTAAATATGAAAGTTTAGGTGTGAGATATGTAAATACACTAGAATTGTTTGGTACATATGTAAGTTTCCCATTTTTGTTACTGAAATTTTAATTTTAGAGAATTTACATGCATACCAGACAATTCTTTTGTATTTACATTTTTAACGCCTAAGGATGGGATAGTCATGTTTATAATAACACTTTGGTGTTGTGAACCTATGCATGAAAAGGCATACTTAACTTTTAAAAAGTTAGTAATAGTGATATTTGTTATGTGATAATAAAAACTAGAGTGTTCACAACACCAAAGTTTAGGTGTTAGATATGTAAATACGTAAGAATTGAGTGGTATGTATGTAAATGCGCCTTTATCTTTTTAATGGAATTTAGTTTATAGAATTAACACTTTAGATTGATAAACTCGTAGCATCCCGTTGTGTTAAAAAAAGGGCTTTATAAAGAATTGAGAATATTTAGATGAATGTGTGAGCAAATTAAAAAAGGGGATTTACATAAATACCTGCTTAAACATGTTTATTTATAGAACTACCAATTTGATTTTTAAAATGGACTACTGACTCATGTATTTGTTGTGCTCTTCGAGATTTTGGTGGTATTATGATAAATGGAGCTACCTGAGTATTTTTTGTAGTAGACCAGTATGATTCATGTAATTGCAATAGTTAAGAAATGTTTAATTCATGAAAGGTAGGGGCATTTACATAAATAACAACTAATTCCAATTTATTTATATATTTAACACCTAAAGTTTACTTATTAATTTTATACCACCCTAATCTTACATATTTCATGAAATTATCGCCTTTTTGCCTTTTAAGAAGTGAAATGGTAAGGTGGCATGTACATAAAAATTAAAGCTTAAGTGTAAATACATAGGAATTGATTGATATGCATGTAAATCTTCCTTAAAGATAAAGTTAAGTTAAAATAGATTTATGGTGATTTTAGCTTGGGAAATAGAAGTTAAAAATGTGTATATTAGATTGGTAGATAGAATTAGTATATATTGGTTAGGAAGAATAAACTAACCTAAGTTAATATAGAAAGAATTTATCCAAAATAATGTGGAAGAATAAATTTAACATCTCGGTTAACACTTGCTAGTAACATTCAAAGAGAAGCAAGGATTTATTGCTGGTTAGGACAGTATAACTCAATCAAATACTCTCTCTCTCTCGCTCTTAAAATTTATTCGCTCGAAGTCCGTATGCATGTTTGCTCCGTATACAATTGTTGTACACTATTGTAACATATTGTACAATAGTGTATAAAAATATCACATTGAGTTCACATGCATCTGGACTCTGTACGTAATTCTCTCTCTCTCTCTCTCTCTCTCTCTTCTCTCTCTTCTCTCTCTAGCCTGTAGCAATATAAATATGATTTGTATACAGGGTAAGCAGCTTGGGCAAATATTGGATGAGGATCCCGCATTGATGGAGCGAAGAGTGCAGTGCGCAAAGAGGCTGGAGCTATACAAGTCTGCTAGAGATGAGATTGAATCAGTTTCCTGGGCTAGATGAGCTTATTTTGATAATTGTAATTAAAATATTTTTTTGTACTGTAAAATTTCTTAAATGCAGATCTCTCTGTGACCGTTCTCACAGCTTCAGATTGACTGCAAAGTTTTCCTTCCTTTTTGTGAAAGTTCTTGGATTATATTCATTAAACGTTAGCAGTATTCTTTTTTCAATTCTTGCTCTTATTGATTTATTTATTTTTGTTCCTTAGGGTTCATTTGATTGTTTGAATTAAATCATATTTTAAAAAAAATGATTTCCTAAGGGGTCCTTTGAGTTTGGCATCACTTTGTCTTTTATTTTTATTTAATTTTTTTGTATTTTTAATTGAAATAGAATATGTTTGATATGTTATATTGACTTTTAGTTAGATTAACTGAATAAGTAATATAAGATAACAATAACATCTTAATTAACCATTATTTAGTAATTTACTAATAAAAATAAATAAAAGTTTATGCTCAGTCAATTGAAACAAAAACAATATTAACTTGTTTTAATATATCTTAATTTAATAGCATTAATTCTTAATATTGATTTTTATTAATTAAATATGGTTACATTATTATACAGCTTTAATTAATCATAAATTTATATGCAAGTCTCTTAAATTTGTTGAACTAAATCCAGTGTTAAGGAGGAAACAAAACTAGGATTTATACTGGCATGTTTAGGGTCTGTTTGATTACATATAAGATTTAAGGCCACGCAGATTAGTAATTTATTTGGCTACTTACCATTTAAAAATTAATTTATTTGATATATTTTATTATATTACATTAATTTATATTAATCTACATTAAGCTAATTAAACAAAATTATAAAGTAAAATGAGTTAATTCACCTCCACGTTCTTCAAATTAAATGATGCCATCTGCAAAGCATGTCTCTCTTTTTCTGTAGCCATGTTGTCTAATTTATCAAGGAAAATATCAAACTTCAAGAAGATCGTTAATTGTTATGAAAATTGATTTTAATTTTAGCTTGAATTGAGATCGGATCGAAATAAATGAGCTTAGCTATGGGAAAAATTTTACATCCGGCGGTGTCCGGACGCAACTCTACATGCGGACTTCGAATAATATGTCGTCACGTAGAAGTTATTATAGAATTGTTGAAGTGAAACCACAAAATTTATTGGAGAGTTATTGAGAAGTTAGGGGGTTATTGTGTGGATTAATGCAGGGGTTATTGAAGTGGAACTGTAGAGATTATTGAGAGGTTATTGTGGGGGTTAATAGAGGTTATTGGGGGGTTATTGGAGCGTTAATTTCAATAACCGCTCAATATCCTTTGTGATTCCACTCGAATAACATCCACGGTTCCACTTTAATATTTGTTTAGGTGGGTCTGATATAACATATATGACGACATATTACTGAAGTCTGCGCGCAAAGCTGCATCTGAACTCCAAATGTAAAATTTTCTCCCAGCTATAAGCCAAAACTTTGGATCGAATTTTCTTTCGAGCCTATTCCAAGTTATACATGAATTGGATCAAAGTTATATACATAAATTACATATAATGTTAAATAAAATCGAAAATAATGAGCTAAGAGCAAATTTCGAACTAACACTCCAAAGAACTCAATTTGAGCCATATTGTTTTGATTTCAAGCCAATTTCAAGTTGGAATTGATCTAAATTACTCAAATTTAAACCAACTCGATTCAATTATGAGCATGATCAAACTCGGTTCAATTTTGAGCAAAGCTGGCTCAAAACCGAACATATCAAACCACGAGCCGACTTCGATCTGAATTTAATCCATTTGAGGTGGGCCCAGCTCTACTCGAAATCGGCTCATTAACAGCCCTAGGATAGACTGCTGTCTAAATTACAATCACGAGAAAATGAGAAGTTGTGCGTGACTAAAAGAAATGCCGACTTCGATCTGAATTTAATCCATTTGAGGTGGCCCCAGCTCTATTCGAAATTGGCTCATTAACAGCCCTAGGATAGACTGCCATCTAAATTAAAATCATGAGAAAATGAGAAGTTGTGTGTGATTAAAAGAAACAAGACTACTTGACTAAAAACAAGTAATGAACTTAATCCAACTTGCTTTTGTGATTCGAGTTCAATTTGATTTCAGTTTTGTAATAATGCATAAAATCAATTAATTTGATTTGATTAAGCCTGAAATTTCGATGAACAGAACAAGATCCGATTGTACCAAACAGCACAAATCCAGTATTTTGGAAACATCTAATTAAAAATAATTACTCGACCGTAAATTCAGAACTGATGAATCAAAATAAGGGGAATTTACATACAATTCTTATGTATTTGCATGTTTACATTCATAACACTCAAATCTTTAAAATTGCATAAAAACACACCACTCTTTCTTGGTTTTTAAAATTGGAGTACACATTTTCATGCATAGATTTATACCACCAAAGTGA